CGCGTGGGTCGCGTGCTCTGCAGCAGGAGTCTGGCCCTCAGGCGCTAGCTGCGAAGCTGACGCCGACTTGAACGCTGGAGCGACCCATGCGTTGGTTCCTGACACCGCGGGGATCGTTCAACCTTGAACGATCGGCCGTTTCCGAAACGTCCAAATCGTTCCACATCGAACGATTCTGGGTCGCCTGCGGCGTTCAAACTTGAACGCCGCTGGCGGGGTCGCCGCCGGTCGACACGGCACGAAGCTACCGTAGTGGAGGGCTGCAAGCCACTGCGTGCTGAGCACCGGGGATGTCAGGATAGGGGAGCCCGTTGGGCCAGGCACGCTCACGGCCTCCATGCGTCTGTGCCGACCAGGGAAGGCCTGGGAGTGCAGGTCCGCAGCCCTCTGCCAGATGGCAAGCTGAACTGTCGACGCGGCCCTGCGCGCAACAGCCGTTCGGGACCAGACCGTCTCGCCAATGCCCCGCGCTCTGAGCCCGGCGGAATCGCGGATCCTCACAGGGGGGCTGCTCCGTCCTCCCTCGAGGCGGGCCCGATCAAGTGGGGCACGTCGAGCAGCGCGACCATGCACGGGACAGACCAATCGACCCACGTGCCAAGACATGTGATTGTTTTTCTTGCTTCTTTATCTCTAAACCCAAAAATGCTTTACACAACAAGTTCAAAAAGCTGCTCGGCAAGGCCCCGAGTGACTGGTAACCCGACGTGCCTCGCGCGCGCTCCGCGCCCTCGGACTCCTGCCACGTGGTGCCACCAGCGTCCCTGCACGGGCCCTCACTCTCCGCCACGCTCTCCTCGAAGTTCTCCAGCCTGCCGTGGTGCACCGTGCGCGCCATGTGCAGCCGTAGCCTCCGATCCGCGCGGCGGCGCGCCTCGGAACGGCCTGGAGAGGGGCGCCACAGCCCAGGCGGGCACACGCATCGCGCGGTCGCGCGCGCGAGTCAGGAGAATGCCATTCTGCCGAGCTGCAAGTCGGCGCCATCTGCTGGCGACTGACGGGCGCCGAGGCCGTCGCAAAGGCAACGGGCTGTGCGGCGCAGAGTTGTCGAGAGCCCTCCGCTCCGTCCTGGCAAACCGCTCGAGCGAAGAGGGGCTAGGAGGATGAGGAGGACAAGGAGGAGGGAGGAGGAAGAGGAGGAGGAGGCGGAAGAGAGTACGTAGCAGGAGTGATGGACTTTGGGGAGTTCGGCCCTCGCAAGCAAGCTCCAGACGACACCCAGACGCCCGAACCATACCGGTGCGTAGCAAACTTGCATACTTTGGAGGGCAAGGAGAAGGAAGAGGATGGGGAAGAGGGAAGGGAGGGTTCGAGGGAGGAAGGAAGGAAAGGAGTAGGAAGGAAGAGGATGAAGGAGGAAGGAGGAGGAAGGAGGAGGAAGGAGGAGGACGGGGGGCAAACAGGGAAAAAGTTAGGTTACGAGAGCGAGAAGGAAGTTAGGCCAGGAGGAAAAGAAATAGTGGAAGGAAGAAGAGGAGGCGGAGGAGAAGGGACCGCAGGCGGTCAAGACCCGATGTGTGTCTTCTGTTGTTTTCTGTTTAACTATACCTACTGTAATATGCTTAGTTCATTTGTCCAGCAAAAAACGTGCTGGAGGGGGGGGCAACATGCACCCGCTGCTCATCTGGGGAGCCGTCCAGAAGGCCCGCACGGATCATGTCACCGAGGACAATCATGACCTGCAGTTCACATGTAGTGAAGGGTGAGGACGCGGAAGGGGAACGCTGATGAGCAAGAAGGCTGAGTCACCCCTCGGACAATTGCCCGACGAGATCGAAAATATGCCACTGTTGTCGGATCCGATGCTGAATCATCGCAGGCGCGGCAATTCGGCTGCGCGTGCATTGCCAGTGCTTCGGATCGTGGTATAAGCGCCACCGTGCCGCCGGGCAGTGATCGGCGGTGGACAAGACGCCCTCTAGTAAACCTCCATGTAATGAAAACGGCCTGGCACCGAAACCGACGGACCTGGACCCGCAAAACGACGGCCGCGACGCCCTCTCGCGAACCGAAAACGGCCAATTCGTTAATCGACGTGTCTATCAACCTCCGATGTATTCTGCTTTATGGGGGGGAGGAGGAGGAGGAGGAGGAGGAGGAGGAGGAGAACGAAGAGGAGAGAGGAGGAGGAGGAGGAGGAGGAGGAGGAGGAGGAGGAGGAGAACAAGGAGGTCTATCCACCCCCGAAGTGAGTGGAGGGGCCTCAAATCCTCTTGACTCCTCTGCTCTCCTGCGCGCAGGGCGGAGCACTCTGCCCGTGGCCCCGAGCACCAAGATATCCTGGGGCCTCTCGAACGAGCCTCCGGCGGGTGAGAGGGGCTCAAGGCAGGCCAAGAGAGGCCCAGAGGCCTCCAAGAAGCTCCAAGGAGGACCCGAGACGGCCCCCAGGGCGCGCCGAAACGCCAAACGTGGCCTCAAGACGACACGAAGGCTTCGAAGACGCCCAAAAGTGGCTTCAAGAGGACCGCACCGAGGGCCCCAGGTGCCGAAAATCGTCGACTCATCCCCTTCTGGGAGGCGCGCCAATTTCGCATACTTCTTGGGCCTGCAATGCTTGCCAAAAGGCCCCCAAGACCGCCTACGGAGAGCCGAAGAGGCTTCTAAGAGACCTCGCAGACGGCCCAAGAGGGCCCAAGAGAGGGAACACGAACTGGAAGTTCGAGCCCGTCACGCCACGAGGACCCCCGAAACCGCCGGCAGGCCTCCAAGAAGCCCCCAAGAGGACCTAAGTCCCCCAAGAGCCCCAAAATGAATGTCAGAAGGCCTTCAAAAGGTTTCAAGAAGCTTCAAATGACTTCAAAATTGTCTCCAAGACGCCCTACCCCTCCCAAGAAGCTCCCGCAGGAGCTCAAGCAATGTGAGCAACCGCATCCTGCCAGGGGCAAACCCAAATGTAGAGACCCTTTCAAGAGGCGGGGAAGGAGAAGGAACATGAGAAAGTGGAGGAGCGGGGACGAGGGGGAGAAGCAGAAAGAGGAGGCTAGGTGAGCAAGGAAAAAAAAGAAAGAGGAGGAAGAGGAGGAAGAGGAGGGTAGTCTGGTAAAGAGGTCACAACGCGCGCGACGAGGCCACGACGGCCAGAAACTGGCCTGTGCCGATCCCAAAGACTACGACATGTTCACGTCACGTTAGCGTCGGCATTGGTTCCTGAGACCGCGCGGACGGTTCAAACTTGAACGACGCGTCTTCCCGATGGTGATCATGCCCACCGTTCGATATTTGCCAATTCCAAACCCCTGACGGCGTTCAACCTTGAACGCCGGCGCCGGGGCCCCCGCCGCAACAGCGTGGCGCGAGCCCAACGTATTGCCTCCTAACGCTCCCGCATGAGGCTCTCGTTTCGCCAGCCCGCACGCATCGGTGAGCGTCTTGTTGACTGAGTTTCACGGCTGGGTTTAAAGTGCGCTGCGTTGAGCTGGCTCCTCGGCATCATGTATCCTCGTCTTCCTCCGTCATAGCAATCCTTTATCCTCATCTCTTCTTCCTCCTGCTGCTCCAGTTATGTTCATCGTCAACGTCGTCATCATCGTCATCATCATCAACGCCGTCATCGTCATCATCATCAGCAGCATCAGCATCATCAGCAGCAGCAGCATCATCATCATCGTCATCATCATCACCATCATCATCATCATCGACATCTGCATCATCATCCGCAACATCAATATCTGCATCGACATCAACGACATCAACATCATCATCATCGTCAGCATCATCATCAGCAGCAGCATCATCAGCATCAGCATCAGCATCAGCATCAGCATCAGCATCAGCATCATCATCATCATCATCATCATCATCATCATCATCATCCTCATCATCATCATCATCATCATCATCATCATCATCATCATCTTCATCATCATCATCGCCAGCATCATCATCATCATCATCACCACCGTCATCAACATCAGTATCATCATCACCAGCACCATCACCATCATCACCAGCATCATCGTCGTCGTCGTCGACGGCATCATCACCGCCACTATCAACAACACCACCATTATTAATAGATTGATCCTCCTCCTTCTCCTGCTCTTCAGCCTCGTCCTCCTCATCCACCTCACACGCTGACTCCAGGTTGCGCCTTGCAATCACGAAGCTGGGCGCAATCCTCGCCCTCGCCTCCTCCCGCATACCCCTCCTGCGCCTCCGCCCCTGCCCACCGTCCTCGCCCTCCCCATCTTCGTCCCCATCCCCCCAAACCATCGCCCAGGCCCTCGGGGAGCGCCTCTGAACGACAAACGCGGAGGAGGCCACGACGAACTGTGACAGCGCCTCTAGAGGCCTCCTAGATGGGGTCCGAGTAGATGGGGTCGTAGGATCCCGCCGCATCGCCGATACATCGGCGATGATCACCGATGCACCGGCGACGTCGGCGATACATCTGCGCTGTCAGCGTAGAGAAAATCGAGCTCCGTATCGAGCCGCATCGGCGACGCATCGGCGATGCATCGGCGATGCGGCGCGATTCTCCGACCCCATCTACTCGGACCCCACCCGGGAGGCCTAGACACATGCCCCAAACCTACCTACGGTTGGAATCAAAAAGATGGCGTGCAAAATCGATGTCCGAAATGCACGCTATCCCTGTGAGGCGATCCCCCCGAGAGGGCCCCTGCTGTGCACGCCATCCCACTGCAGGGGCTTCTTCGGGACACGCTGTCCCCAGGGTAGGGGATAGCGCGCAACACACGGACCAGCGGCACTTGCCCCACCATCACTCCCGCTCAACCCCCTGAAGGCACCAACAACTGCATAAACACAGACTCTGGAAGGTCCGCGCGGATTTGTTGCATCTGCGCTGGACCCCCTCCCTGGCGCGCGGAGCGCGCCAGGAGCGGCGCCACAGGCGCCGCCAGGGGGGGGCCCAGCGCAGATCCAAGAAATCCGCGTGGAGCGTCGAAAGTTAATGTTTTATGGTGATGCAGCTTCTCCTTCGACACCCACCCCCCACCCCCCGCCAAGGGCTCGCAAGCGAAGAGCCCGCGCGCGAGCTCCTCAGGGATCGGGGCCCTCGCGTCGTCAGCCGCCGCTGGGCTCGCCCACCGCCTCTCCGCCGCAGCGCGCCGGCTTGGCCGGAGGAGGACAACGGGAGACAGCGGCGGCAGTCACTGGGAGGACGCGGGGGGGGGGGGGGAAGAAAGCTGCGGTGTCCCAAGCGCGTCGCCGACGCAGTGGCCACGTCGGCGATGCAGCGGCGACGCCACCGTGGAGGAAACCAGCATCCGCATCGCGCCGCACCGCCGACGCATCGGCGAGGCGGCGTTGCACGCCGACCGCGTCTGCTCCGACCCCACCGGGGCGGCCTCGAGGGTGCCTTTGCCTTGCCCTTGCCCTTGGGGGTCTCGCAGCGGTGCCCGGTGCTGTGGCCGACCGCACGCTTCCTCTCTGCAGGGTTTCTGGGGGAAGGAGGAAGGAGGAGTAGGAAGGAGGAGGGAGGAGGAGGGAGGAGGAGGGAGGAGGATGGAGGAGGAATGAGGAGGAGGGAGTAGGAGGGAGGAGGAGGAGGGAGGAGGAGGGAGGAGGAGGGAGTAGGAGGGAGGAGGAGGGAGAAGGGAGGTGGAGGGAGGTGGAGGGAGGAGGGAGGTGGAGGGAGGAGGGAGGGAGGTGCATGGAGGAGGAGTGGATGAGGGACCCGGGAGGCCTCCGCTCGAGAGGTCCCCAGAGAACGTCCCGAGCCCCACGACCGCGCGGCCACCCCGCATTTCCCGCCGGCTCGCCGCACGGCGTGGTCACCGCGCCGCCGGGGGGGCTCCCGAGGGAGAGGGACTTCGGGGGGGCGACTGTAATCCGTACCCCCCCCCTTGGATTCCTTTCTATCCTTAGGACCCCATCCCTCAGAACGCCAGCATTGAACCGCCGAAAGTCGGGCGTCTGGGCAGCCGTGCTGGCGGCGCCTTGCCCCCTGACGAGGCCCCGAGAGAGGGCAAGAGCATCGAGATCCCTCCCCTTATAGGGTGTGTTTCATCATCATCATCATCATCATCATCATCATCATCATCATCATCATCATCATCATCAGCAGCAGCAGCAGCAGCAGCAGCATCATCATCAGCAGCAGCAGCAGCAGCAGCATCATCATCATCATCATCAGCAGCACCATCATCACCATCATCAGCAGCATCATCAGCAGCATCATCAGCAGCATCATCATCAGCAGCATCAAGATCCCTCACCTATAGGGCGCTTTTGCTGCTATGCTCGCTAACCGAAGGCGCACTGGTCTCTGGGCGGGAGGGGAGGGGTGTGCCAGGCGGTGTGCGGATCTCTTCCAACGGCTCTGCGCACTTCCACACGCGGTCCTATCCAAGCCTGCCGCGGAGAACGCACCTAGGAACTGCCCGCCAGGCCTGCGCCAACGGCACAAAAGCTCATGTCGAAGGGACCCCTAACCACACCCCCTTTGCAAAACGGAGTCTACGAGCTTCTAGCTGCGAGGCGGGCGGGCGGCCGAAACCGTCTCAGAAGGCATCCTGCTTTTGAGCCTGGAAGGCATGATACGGAATTGGCCTCTGGGCCCAAAAGATTACGGAAGAAGCCGTCGCGCTCGCTCCCTTCTCCTGGCCGCACTCCCGCTCTGCAAGCACATTCACCGTGGCCTCCCCTCGTGGCGACCGACGCGCGCCAGAGGTCTGTGTCTCGCGCTGGCGCCAGGCCGTCCGGGAAACGCACGACGAGGCCTGGAGACTCTGGCCCGAAAGCCACCAGTGCCCCCCCCCCCTTGGAGGCGGCCATGGGGGGGTCTGAACTGGTCGGGGCCCCAGAAGAGTCGGTCGGGAGGGGGGGGACGAGGGCAACTCCGCTCAACATCGGCTCCAAGGCCCCTCCCTGGGGTCCATCTGGCGCAACTCTCCGCCCCAGATCCGTCTTCCACGGTCCAGGGGCCCGCGAACTGCCCCTCCACAGAAGCCGAAAACGGCCACTGCCCCGAGCCCGAAACCTCGAGCCTGCCCCCCTGCTTGCTGGTCAGAACCCGTGCTGGGCCACCTCAGACCCCCAGCCGGCTCCAACCCTCCCCCCTATCATCCCCCCAACCTCGTCGTCCAGCCCGAGAAGAGGCTGGCGGCGCGCACAGGGGAGGCAAGAGGGAGGGGGAAGGCTTCTTTGGACGAGGCTGCTTCTCAGAAGGCGCTGGCCCTACATCTCCAGAGAAGGCCCGCACCTTCGAAGCAGCGAGGGTATTCTCTGAAGCCTCGACCGTCGATCCTCCTCGACCCTCGATCCTCCTCCATCCTCCTCGACATTCGATCCTCCTCGATATTCGATGCTCCTTCCCCCCCCCGCTACCCCCCCCCCCCGCCAGGCGCGTGGCCGAAAGAGATTTGGACGCCCGAAATGGGTACGGACAAACTGGGCACAATGCCCAACAACAAATGTTGCCCCAAACCGACAGCGGCCGCTGTTGGGCAGGCGGCTTCTTGTCGCCAAGGAACAACGCCCGCGGCGGCGCGAACGGCGAGCCCTGTTCAAAATGAAGAGGAACTGTTGTCGGGCATCGTACAGGGCAGTGTTTAACACATGGGATGTTTTTATATGCTTAAGCAAAAAACTTTTTATGCATGATTAATGTAATAATAAATCAATACATATACTCATCATTGCTTGTAATACTAAACCCCTCTATTGTAATACATGATCCGCACGCGGAGCATGTATTAAAAAACGGCACTGTACCCATTATTTCCACACCCGCTGCGCTCGTGCAGAAGAGAGAGACGGGCGGGGAGGGAAGCAGCGGCCGCCTCTGCGCGGCACCGGCACAGGGGGCAGACCTGGCCGGGCCGCGCGGCGAGGGGGCCCCCCGACCTCCGCCGCCGCTGCTCCCGCGGCCGCCACACGAGGCAGGCGAGGCCGAGGTCGGGACCCTGGCATGATCGCGTTGGAAAAAAAACAAAACAAACAAACAAAAAAAAAAAAAAAAAAATCGGGGCGGAAGGTTTTTGCCAGTCTTCGGCCTCGGGGGGCCTGCACCGGGCCTCGGGGCCGTCGAAGAGCGACTCGGGATGAAAAGCTGGCCCCAGGGAAAGGGTCTGGGCTTCTGGGGGCGCCGCACTGGAAAAAACACGACGTCGCACGTCTGGGGCAGCCCCGGCCGGGCCCCATCCTGGGCCCTGGCCTGGCGCACAGGCCCTCCTAGCCTGGGCCCACACATGTACACCACCACCACCCTCGCCCCCTCCCCCTCCCACGAAGGAGGCGAGGAAGCAGAGGGTAGAGGAGGGAGGAGGAGCACACGTACACCACCACCACCACCACCCTCGCCCCCTCCGCCTCCCAGGAAGGAGGCGAGGAGGCCAAGGGTAGAGGAGGGAGGAGGAATCGACGCGGTGGTGGTGTATACTCCTGGGGCCCGCATCCTGGCCTGGGCTGGGAGGTCTGTGCACCAGTCCAGGGCCCAGGATGGGACTGGTCAGGGCTGGTGGTAGTGAACTGTCTGCGTGCCCCGGAGTCGTGGCAGTTCCCCGAGCCCTTCAAGAGGAGGAGGAGGAGGAGGAGGAGGAGGAGGAGGAGGAGGAGGAGGAGGAGTCCCGGGGAAATTGTCGCTGACCAGGAAGGGGAGGGGGGGAGGTTTGGCAGGATTTGGGGCGGGTTCCGGGGCGCCAAATATAAAGAATCATACGAATCGAAAGCCCCCCTTGACGCCCCCCCTACCCCCTGTCGGGGGACGCTTTGCTTCCGAGAAAAACGCCCTCGCCCATTCAGAGGGAGGGCCGGGGGGGGTCCCCCCAGAAACTCCCCTCAAGGGAGATTCTCGGGGATGATAAACATGGTGTTCCTGGCCAGCCTTCACAAAGTCAAGTCTGGTGTTCTGGTCGTGAATATATTCGACTAGAACCATCGCGCGCGCTTCGCGCGCGCTCAAGTTCTAGCTAGCTTGAAGGATAGCGCGTAGCGGAGGGAAGACGAAAGGTCAGCAGTGGCAGGCAACCTGGTCGAATTAGCCACGATTGTGTCCTTCGTCCGTCCGTCGTCCTTCGTCCGTCGTCTGTCGCCGCCACCCTCGTCGTCGCCGTCTGCGTCGTCGTCTGTCGTCTGTCGTCTGAGGCGCTCTTCGTGGCCAAGGCTGGCTTCGTCTCGAAATTCTTGTCCAAACGCATCCCTGGGCATCGCAGTTTTTGCTTTTGCATCTTGGGCTGTCTGGGAAGCCTTTTGGGCGTCTCGGGAGCGTCGGAGGGGGGGGTCTTGCGAGTTACGTGGGGCTTCCTGTTGGGCTTCCTGGAGCCCAGGGCTGGAAACGTCCGTTCGGCCCCCGCCTGGACCGCTGGGCTCTTGGGGGCCTCTTTCCAGCCTCCTGGAGTGTGCTTGGGGCCGCTTGGGGGCCTCTTGGGGGACTCTTGGGCTCTCTGGGGCCTCCTCGGAGCATCCTGGACTGCTTCTTGAAGCCGTCATGGGACCTTCTTGGCATGTCTTCGGGGGCCTCTTAGAAAGAGTTTTGAAGCCTTGTGGGTGCCGGCTTGGGGCCTCTTGAAACCTCTTTTGGGCTTCTTGGGGGCCTCTTGGGGCCTCTTGGGGGCCTCTTGGGGCCTCTTGGGGCCTCTTGGGGGAATCTTGGGGCGGAAAGCTTGGTTTTTCACTTCGCGTTCCTTCTCTTGGGCCCCAATTGGGGCCTTCTTGGGGCCCGCTTGCGCCGTCTTGGGCGACTCTGGGGCCGTCTCGGGGCTCTCTTGGGCCGTCTTGGGGCCCTCTTGGGGGCCTCGTGGGCCGTCTTGGAGCGGTCTCGGGCGGTGCTTTAGCGCCGGAACCACGAAACAGCGAGAACGCAAAAAAAACATGGAAAAACAAACGAAAATCCAAGATGTTGCCCTCTCGGGGCGGTCTTGGGCGGCATCTGAAAGGCCTCTTGGGGCGTCTTGGGGACCTCTGGGGCATTTTGGAACGCATATTTCGTCGCCAGAGACCCCTGGGCGTCTTGGGGGGGTGTCTCGAGACCGTTTGGGGCCGCCCGGATTGTTGTCTGCGGGCTCCCCGAAGCGATTGTTTGGCCTCCCACAGGCGGGCCGGGACCCCAGGCCCCACATTTGCGGTCGAGGTTCCGGCCCTCGGCGCCAGGGCCCGGTGCGCCGTTGTATGTACATGTTGATTTTTGTTCGCGCGACGTCGGAGGCGGTGGAGGTAGCACCGCAAGGCCTCGCAGCAGCACTGCTCGGGGAGTGAGCCAAAGGACAGGTTCGAAGACAGCTCACATGGTTGTAGAAGACGGTTCGTTTGCAGCAGCCTCAGAGCCTCAGACTCAGCATGAACGGTTGGAGCAACAAATGTCTGAGCCCCAAGACAAGCTGAATTCTGGAAACCAGCAGGGTATCAGCATGATGGACAATCCGGGAGTACATTTACGGTTCTGGAGCCAGTATGTAGTGGACAAGTTAGACGTGTACTATCCCCGCTCCATTCCACGTCCTCATCATCATCATCATCATCATCATCATCATCATCATCATCATCATCATCATCATCATCATCACTATCACCGTCATCAGCATCACCATCATCATCATCAGCATCATCATCATCAGCATCATCATCATGATCATCATCATCATCAGCAGCAGCATCATCACATCCAACAGCATCACCATCATCAGCATGAGTATCATCATCAGCAGCAGCAGCATCATCAACAACACCACTACCAAAATCGTCATAGCAATCACCATCGTCACCACAGCCACGACCATGATCATCATCATCATCAGCACCATCATCCTCATCAGCAGTAGCAGCAACATCGTCATTACCATCATCATCATCATCATCATCATCAGCAGCAGCAGCATCATCATCATTATCATCATCATCATCATCATCATCATCATCATCATCATCATCATCATCATCATCATCATCATCATTAGCATCATCATCATCATCATCATCATCATCATCATCATCATCATCTTCATCAGCATCATCATCACCATCACCGTCATCATGAAGTATCGTTATTACTGATATAAGTATGATAATTCCCAGCATCAGCAGCATCATCAGCATGATCATCATCACCAGCATCATCAGCATCATCATGATCATCACAATCATCATCATCACCATCAGCATCATCATCATCATCATCCTCATCATCGTCAACACCATCCTCCTCATTCCCGTCCTCCTCCTCCTCCTCTTCCTCCCCCCCCTCCCCCTCCTCCTCCTCCTCCTCCTCCCCCTCCTCCTCCTCCTCATCCTCTGCCTCCTCCTGAACACAATCATCACCATCACCACCACCATCATCATTAGCATCATCATCATCAGCATCATCATCATCATCAGCAGCAGCATCCTCAGCATCATCAGCATCAGCATCATCATCAGTGTCATCAGAATCAGCATCATCATCTTCAGCAGCAGCAGCATCAAACCACTCCTCCCCCCTCTCTGAAAACCTCCATCTGGAGACCTCCACGGACCTCTGCAGATCATCAGTCACCCCATCCTCCTCCTCCATTGCTCCTCCACCTCCTCCTCCTCCTCCGCCTCCTCCTCCAAAAAACGCGTTTCATCTGCCGAAGGACCAGGTCGCGGGAGGGGTACGTGTCGGTCAGCAGCCAGCTGCGGTAGCACACGCGGTGAAGGGTGTGCTTGGCGAGGCGGGCTTTTCCATGAACTGGCAGGGGATAACCAGCTCTCTCGCGAGACAACTTCCCTCCACCTCGTCCATGCGGAGCGAGCGGGCCTTTCCGAGTCTGAGGATGGCGCAGGTGCCCCTGCGCGTCACCAACAGCACACCGTATGTCACATGCTATCCTGGGATGTTCTCCAACATGCAGCGTGTCAAATCCTCTCGTAGCATCGCGTACCAAAGCACAGGGAACGCGTCGCATGATGCCGCTATCCCATCAACACAGCATGCGTAAAATCGCACGGAAAGTGGTGGGATCAAAGAACACCACTGGTGAACAGCGCAAACAGACTGTGTCATGCCGCAGCTTGGCATACGATACATACTAGTACGGCATTCAAGGTATTATGATGTTGAAGATCAGAGCAAGGAAACTGCGCCGCATGGGCATCTGCGCGTCGCCATTCACCTAATTAAACGTTGTCGCATACTTCCGTTGAAGTACGCGTGATGCCAGTGCAGCGCACAGCATAACAACGCTCGTTGTCACCATACCAGTCTTACGTTGCGAATTACGATTCAGCGTTACGCCATGCAACGCTATACGCGCTGTCCAGTGATACGCTGTGATGCGATATTCAATATCAATGCATGCCATGATGTGGTACGCTGAGCGTTGGAAAGCTACAACTTGCTGTGGCATGCGATGATGAACAAGAAATTGTATGACACTGCGTAGGGATGCGTTGTGTTACCCATTGAAGCCCCCCCTGGGGCATCGTCGCTTCGGTCGGCCCAGGTTCATTCAACGAGCCCCCAGATGTCTGGGTTACCATTGGTCTTCGGAGGTCTGAAGAAGCCCACCACGAAGGGCCAAATCCGTCTGAACCGAACACCTGCATTCGGTCCTCCCCCCCCGAAAGAGCAGACCAGCAAAAGCGGCGTCCTTGCACGGCAGCAGCACTATAAGCTTCTCGCCACGCGAGAGCTCCCCCAGGCAGATGCAGCACGGCTCGCCCTGGAAGTGCCACTGCCACCGCCGCTGCCGCCGTCGCTGCCGTCGTCGCCGCCGTCCGGCAGCAAGGGCATCCTGCCCTGCTGCCGCGAGGAACCTCCTCAGGAGGGCCTCCTGGACAGGACCGGCCCTCGCTTCAATGAGGGGGACGGGCGCTCAGGGGGAGAAACGTTGAGCTGGAATCGGCGTTGCATCGCCGATCGATTCGCGATTGGCCCCCAATACCGAAACCGCACGTTCATCGGCGATGAATGAACGATTGGGGGTCGATGCATCCCCGCCTAAGCTTAGGTTGGGAATGTCCCCCTACAGGGGGATTTTGGACGAAAAGCAAAAAATAGTCAAAAAATACCCCCGAATGGTCAAAAATGATACAAAAATCGTCCCCCGACTATTGTTTTGCTATTTTTGAATTTTCCCCCTGTAAAGGGACAGGCCCGACTTAAGCCTAAGCCCATCCCCCCTACGTTGCCCCTGGCTGACAGGTCATAAGCCCGATCTCCGGCGGCCGTTCCCGACGGTCTGGGAATCCCTGGCACGCTCTCGGCGAGGCGCAGCTGCTGGCACGCACACCGAGGCTGGAAGCCCGCCGGGAAACCACGAAACTCCGCCGACCCCCGTCTACCGGACGTGAACAGGCGTGTGAGAAAGATGGCTGTCCCCCCCCCCCTTTTCCCCCTCCCCAAATCCAAAAACGCGTTTGAGGGGAAGGCGGGGGAGCCTCTTGGGCCGTCTTGGACGCAATGGAAGCCCAAAAGGCGAACACGCCAAAAATAGCAGTTTTCCCATTTGACATCGACGTTTTTTGCTTATTTGTGGCTCTATGAGGTGCCTCTTGGGGCGAGGGGGTCCCCGGGCTCACCAACGCACCCCTGAGACGGCAGGGCACGAAGCCAGAAACGCACTCGCACGCCGAGCACGTCGAGGGCGCTTGCTCGGTGCACTCGTGCAGGATCGCCGTGCCTGGCCATGCGAGGGCCGAGCGCCCGCAAGGCACGGGGCCACATGAGAGGAGCCACAAATCGGCGGCGGACAGACCTCCCTTTAACAAACCTCCCTTTATAATGAAAACGGCCCAGGACCGAAACCGACGGACCTGGACCCGCAAAAATGAAGGCCGCGACGCCCTCTCGCGAACCGAAAACGGCCAATTCGCTGATCGACGTGTCTATCAACCTCCGATTTATTCTGCTTGATGGGGAGGAGGAGGAGGAGGAGGAGGAGGAGGAGGAGGAGGAGAACGAGGAGGAGAAAGAGGAGGAGGAGGAGGAGGAGGAGGATCCCATGTGCATCCGGCCTGTTCGCACGACGGCGCCCAAGAGCAGAAGAGAGAGCACCGATCCCCAGCCAGGCCAAGCCTGGGGCCAGGAGGGGCCTGGCCAGGCTCGGAGCATGCTTGCACAGCTCTCCCCGCCCGACACAGATGCCCCTAGAAGGGGAAAGGAAGAAATATTCATGTGTATATATATATATATATATATATACATACCATAAACTTGCTAGACGCGGCCAGGACGAGGATAAAAGTGGGCGAAGATAAGTCGAGAATCTCTGAGATCCGGCGGCTCTGGCGAACGCCTCGTGCGCCGCGGCCTCCTCTGAGCGCTCCGGAACGCTTTGAAGAGCCTTCCGGAACGCTCTGGAACGGACTTATCCTCGTCCTGGCCCCGCCCGCAGTTGCGGCGGTCCGCACGGATGTCTTGGATCGGCGCTGGACCCCCCTCCCTGGCGCACGGAGCGCGCCAAGGGCGGCGCCGCAGGCGCCGCCAGGGAGCTCCAGCGCAGATCCAAGATATCCACGGGGACCGCCGCAAGTTTACGCCTCTGCAGCTTGTTCTTCATCGACCCCCGGATCCTGGCCGAACGCGCCCTCCACCCTCGTGGACCTCCGCGCCAGGGTGCGCATGTGCCGCACGCGGCCTGCGCCCAGGGCGCCAGCCGGCGGGCCGCTCGCGCCGCCGCGGACGGGGGCCGCCGCCGCTCGGAGGGGTTCGCGGGAGCCCTCGGGGCGTCGCTGCCGACGTGCTGCTGGAGAGGCCAGCCACCGGTGAACCCACATGGCTTTCATAGCACCCTGTCAGGGCTCGATCCAACTCCAGCAGAGCCCCACTACAGCTGCGTCGAGCTTGGACAGCATCCTACTAAGGGCTCGATGCGGCCTTCCTGGAGTCCTACTGGGGCTGGATCCAGCCCTGACTGCACCCTACTAAGGCCCGATCCAGCTCTAATGGAATCCTACTCCTAGGGTCCGATCCAGCTTCTTCACGATACGGGCAGACGAAACTCAGCGGCACGCCCAGGGGGGATGGCAGAGAGGGCGGGACTCCTCAGAAGGCTCAAGACGCCTTCTCCAAACGCTGGCCTTCTGAGCAGGTTCCGAAGCCTTCTCCAAAGCCCCGCCGCCTTCTGAGAAGGACTGCCCCTTTCAGCTCCAACCTCGGCGCGCCGCCGAGAAACGGGCACAGGGGAGAAGAGCGTGCAAATGGACGGGGGGAATCTCCGCACGGTTCGGTCTCTTCACAAGATCTCGTGCGCGGCGACGCCAGCAATGATGTTGCGCTCTTTCTGCAGTATCTGCGCCCGTACGGCTCGCCGGACATGGTTCACCCAGGCCTTGGGGGAGGGAGAGAGGAACATGAGGAGTGCAGCGGAAGAGGACAAGGAAGCAGCGAGGAGGAAAAAGGGCTCCAGCGTGGCCCCCCACACTCCCTGTCGTCATCCTCCCTCCTTCTCTACCCGCCCAACATCTCTAGAGACCTCCAGAGACATCCGAAGCCTCTGAAGAAGCCCCTGGAGACCTGCGGAGGCCCAAGAAGGTCCAAAGACGTTCGCAGCTGCATCCCGAAACAGCTCAAAATCCATCCCCGGAGCTGTCCAGGCTCGAGCCGCGTCCAGCTACCTCCAGAAATCCCAAAGAACCTCCAAGACGACGACGTCATCTCGTTTCTCCCCGTTTCGTAGCCATCATGCTGCAGGTGCCACCAGGGCCCTGCGGCGCACATAACACTCTGAGTGCAGGACAGAAACACACGTAATCTGAGTGTACGACGCATTTCAGGCCACGCTCGCTTACCATCCTTCCAGCGGAGATGTCGGCAGGGCAAGGCGAGCCAATCTTGGCCGTAAAAATGATAGAGTTCGCGCGCCCAGCGCCAGATGCCGACCGTGCTGTGATGCAATTGGGATCCTTGCCATCTCTCCATAGAAGGCATCCAGGAACGATCGAGGCAACCTAACACACGAGAGGCAACTCTGTCCATAGAAGCCATGCCAAGATGTGGGAGACAGCCAGCCCAGACATGTGACAGGCAGCGACAGGATTGGGTCCAGGGCTCACTGTCGTGCCTGGTGCAAAATCCGAATACGATGGACATGGCAGCTTTCATGTATTCAGCCGCAGCGTCCACCACTGGGGAGCGAATGATGTTTCTAAGCCTAGTAGTACGGCACTTGGACATCCTTCTCAAATTGGAGGTTGCGAAGCGAAAGTACAACCCAACGAGCTCCGCAAGCCTCGGAGATAAGCGCCAAGTAACCAGAAAAGCAAACAGAAACTTCCGACTCACACCCGCGACCCCTCCAGCAAGACCCCTAAGAAACGTCCACAAAAACGATTGCTGTCCTCCCTCTCCCCATCAATTCACTGGCCCCTGGAAAAGCCCCAAGGGCAACCATGAAACCAAAGAACCAAAGAACCACCTTGGAGCAGCGGCCTTACAACCCACGCGCAAGTGCCATGCGAATGGGCTGCAACCACCTCGCAACTGTTGCAAGGCACAACGATCACTACAACATGGGAAATCGCACGGAACAGCTCCGCCCTGGGAATATCTATGCTGTATATATATATGTATCTATTAATATATATATGTATGTATATATATGTGTGTGCATACGCTCATACCAAAGAACCAAATCTACATCCTAAGACAACGACGACAGAAGCGCGATGAAGACGCGACGAACGGAGAGCATGGGACACTCCAGCCAGACCCGGAGATGCGGCCCAGGCCCATTCCCCTCCTACAAGAACGCCCTGAGGCGCCAGGGAAGCAGCCACGCGACCCAAAAGGCCCCCCACAGGGCCCCAGCATGAGGAGAAAAAGCATCGTGCTGGGATGTAGGCAAGGAGGAGGAGGAGGAGAAGGAGGAGGAGGATGCAGGGCATGAGCAGTAGCATCCAGATGCAATGAGCGACACCTGTGGCCGCCCACGGGTAATGATTACCCACCCCCTAGGAGTCGCGCCACATCTTAGGACCAAATCTGACGAACCCCATTCTGGGAATCAAAAACGTACCAAGACGTTCAGAAACCGAGAATATCGACCTCTTGGGCTTCCTGGAAGTTTAAGAGAGCTTCAAGACGGCTCAAGACGGCCTCGCGACGTCCCAGCACGGCCCCAAGACGGCCCAAGATAGCCCGAAGAAGGCTTAAGAGGCCCGCAAGACGGCCCCAGAGGGCCTCGATGGGGCCCCCACAAGCACCCCCAAAAACCAAAAATATTGATTTCCGCTCGTCTCGGGATCTGTTCAACTCGCCTTTTCGACTCTCGGCGCCCCCCGACGGCCCAAGCCGCCTCCAAGCTGGCCCCAAGACGGCCCGGGGGGCACCCGCAGGGGGCCCCGAGACGGCCCAGGAGCGCCCCGAGACGCCCCCAGGAGGCCCCCAGCGGCCCCACAGCCACAGAGGCCCCAAGACGACCTCCGAAGGGGCGCGACGACGCAAGAGCGTCCCCAGACGGCTCAAGACGCCCCGAAGAGGCCCCCACAGGCCCCACGGAGGCCCCGAAAAATCCTCCAGGAGACCACCAAGAAGACCCCAAGATGGCAGACAAGAACGGCACGCACGCGCGGCAGCCGAGAAAGACACGCCAACCAACGCCCATACCTTCCATACCGGGAGGAGCATACCCAACCATGCCCAACATCAGCAATATCGGCCTCTTGAACCTCTTGGGGGCCCAAGACGGCCCGGCTCAACTGGCCCCAAGACGGGCTAAGACGGCCCCAAGGCGGCCCAAGATTGCTCGAAGAGGGCCTAAAAGGCCCCCAAGACAGCCCCAGAGGGCAGCAAGGGCGCCCCCAAGAACGCATCCAAACGCCAAAAAGATCAATTCCCTCTGGTTGTTGCTATATTCTAGCATGCCCGTGTTTTTCCACTCTTGAAGGCCATGACGGCCCAAGGAGCCTCCAAAATTGCCCCCGACGGCCCCAGAGGCCCCCAAGGGGGCGCCGAGATGGCTCAAGAGGGCCCCGAGATGGCCCAAAGAGGCCCCCAAGACAGGCCAAGAGGCCCCCAAGACGGCACAAGAGGGCCCCAAGAAGGCCCCAAGGCGGCCCCGAGAGGCCCCCAAGGCGGCCTCCGAAGGGACCAGATGGCGCAAGAGTCCCCCAAGAGCCCCCCAAGACCCCAGGCACCCCCAAGAGGCCTACAAAAGACCCCCAAGAAGCCCCCTAACGGCCCCAAGAACCAACCAAGATTCCTGCGCAATTGTGTACTGCTGGCGCAATGCTCATCGGGATTTGAACTTGGCGTTACCTTGTGCTGATTTTTGACGGCGGCGTCGCAAAGCTCAAACGTGTGCACAAGGAAACCGGGGCGCGGAACAACGTATTCGCCGGAGCGTGCCGTAGACGAGAAACGGAAAAGGAAGCGGTCGCGGAGGCAGAGGCGGGACGGAACGCATGGAAAATCGGAGATACCGACCTCGAGGGCTCAGAGGGTTCAAAGACGGCCAAGATTGCTGCACGGCAGCCCGATGTGGCCCCCTGATGGCTCCAGAGCCGCTCCCAGCCCAAACGTTAATAGGGGCCCCTCCATTCACTCTCCGCGGGTGCGGCTCGTGACGTGACCGGCCCCCTCCCCCCCTCCCCCATGGTATCGCCCGTGCCGCCAGGGAAACAACATGATGCCTCCAAAAAGGCTCCCACGAGGCCCCAAGAGGTCCCCAAGAAGCTTCCCGAGGAGGTCCAAAAAACGCCGGGGCTCTCTGCAGCCCCGCCGTGCACTCCGCGAAGCGAGAAGAATCACCCCCAGGACCACTTGGCCTCGGTGCATCGAGCCGCGCCCTGGCCGTGGCAGCCCGAACCTGACGAAAGCCCAGAAAACCTCCGAGACGAGCACGCCATCGTCGCCCTCCTGGTCGTCCTCCTCGTCCTCGGCAGCGCCATGGCGGGGCCCAAAGAGTTCCCGACCCCTTCCCCAGGGGCGTTTTTTTGTCCCAGATGGCCCCGCGGGGCCCCCAAAAAACTAGCCCCAGAGGCCGAAACCTAAGAAGAACTCCCAGACTGAAAAAGCCAGATCGCCAGAGATCCAAGCGGCGCGGCGCCGTCGTCGTCGGCCGTCGTTGCCGTCGGCCGCGTCGTCGTCGTCGTCCTCGCCATTGCGGCGTCAGCGGCGGCGTCGTCCTCGTCGTCGCCGGCGTCGTCGTCGCCGACGACGGCGGCGGCAGCGCGATGGCTGCGTCAGCGACGGCGGCGTCGTCGTCGGTCGTCAGTCGGCGTCGTCGTCGTCGCCTGCCAGAGCGAAAGCGCGCCGCGCGCCACCCGAAGAAGAGGGCAGAGGGCGGCGCCGGCTGCCCCCCCCCCCAGGGCTCTCGACCCATGCAGTGTGTTCCCTTTGCGTTTCGTTGTCGCTTTCCCGTGTGCTGGCTTCGTTCCGCCTCTGTGGGGCGACGAAAGCTATACACATCCGCTGCGCCCTGGCCAAGCCCATCTGGGGGAGTACAGTAGGGACGTTGACCTAAGGAACCCTAAATAAGGAACGAGGCCCCTTTTCTCCCTAAGTTAAACTTCGATTTCCTATCGAAAACATAAGGAAAACCTGAGGCAAGCTATGAAACACTTAAGGAACGCGGAGCCCTTTCCCAACCAAAAGGGTTCCTTCTTCAGGGCCCCGACTGTAAACGCCATGCCCTCCTGGCTTGGCCAGGAGGGCGTGCACACAGCTCCTGGAATCAGCACGCGCCTGGCCAGGGCGCAGCGGACACTTGTGGATTTCGTCGCCGGACCTTTTCGCTTCGTGCTCGTCTGTCCTCGTCCCGCCTGCGTTCCGCCGCTGCTGCAGAGCGAAATCAAAACGAAAACGGCCCACGAGATCGCCAAAACACCGTGTAGGTCGAGCTCTGCCCCCCCCCCCCCCGGCACCACCCACCCCACCCCACGCGGGAGGCGCCTCGCGCCCGGGTCTTGCGCTCGAACCACAGCATCAGATCCCTGGCATGGGGGCGGCTCCTCCATCCTCGAGGGCCGAGGCGAGCTGGGGCTAGCTAGGGCGACGAGGACTGGGGCAAGCGGGGGTCAGTCCTCCTCCTCCGCCCCCTCCGGATCCCCCTCCTCATCCTCCCCCTCCTTCTCCTCCTCCACCTCCTCCTCCTCCTTCTCCTCTTCCTCCTCCTCCTCCTCCTCCTCCTCCTCCTGCTCCTCCTCGTCCTCATCCTCCTCGTCCTCCTCCTCGTCCTCCTCCTCCTCCTCCTCCTCCTCCTCCTCCTCCTCCTCCTCCTCCTCCTCCTCCTCCTCCTCCTCCTCCTCCCCCCCCTCCCCCTCCCCCTCCCTCTCCTCCAGGATCCTGCAGAGCCAGGAGCGCATCCTGGGCCCAGGAGCGGTGTGTATGCCTGCCTGGGCAAGCCAGGAGGGCGCACGCACCGCTCCTGGGCCCGAGATGGGCGGCCACAATATGGCGCAGCCCCCACGACGCAGTGCACTGAATGCCACATGCTGTACAACATGAGACGTGGCTGGAGCCTGACAGTCAGTAGGGCTGTGCTGTGAAGGAGAGTACACGTACGAACTAGCGCAATGTCAGGCAAGGAGTCTAAAACAGCAGTCCTGAGCGGAAGTGTGCAGCGGACGTAAGGCGCGAAGGCGTGACAGAGCGTTGGAGGGTGATTCTAGAAGACCTATATGCGAGCGGAGCTCCGAGAAATTATGTTTATGTTGTTGTTTCTTCTTCGAGGATCATTGCACACGTACTTGTATGAGTGTGGCGTCATAACGTGGTGTACACTTCGCCGCTCTACAAAAAGTGTGTGCAGGCTGAGGGTGGGCGAGGCTGTCGCTGAAGAAAAGCAGCTGTGCACACTCGATTGCGCAGTCCGCTACGTACTCCATCGGCCTGCTGCAGCTTCCTGGCAGTCCAGGCCTATTGTACAGATGGCTGCGGCGCAGGCGTTTTGAGCAGGCAGCCGCCTATCACCCCTCTTCCCCTTCCTCCTCCTCCCCCCCATCCGCGTCGCGCCGGTTACGGCCTTTCAATGACGGGACCCGTCTTGGGCCCGTGAACTGGGACGTGGAAGGGCCGCCAGGGCCACTGACAAGTCCGAGAACGAGTTGCCTTGGGAGGGCGACTCGCCAGATGTTATTCGCAGTGCGCGAACCTTCAACCTATCTTGAAACGACGTGCCACCAAAAACTTCGGTGGCAACTCATGGGAGCCTCCCATACCATCTTGTCGGCTCCTGCGAATCGACGCTAAATCGACGCTACGCCGACGCTCATCGACGCTAGATCGGCGCTAATCGACGCCAAATCGGCGCTCTCTCCTCGACTCCTGGACGCTAATCGACGCTAGCCGACGCTAAAGACCGAATTGCGAGGGTACACAATTGGAGGCCTGGAAATGGGCACCAACACCAACTCAGGGCGTTGCCTCCACAGGGGGAAGATGATCCTCGATTTCGGTGTTGGTGGCAACACTTCGGTCACCTTGGACGCCAGAGTATTACCACCATCACCGAGATCGGGATCTTCTTCCCTCGGTGGAGGCACACCGCCGATATTGGTGTTGGTGTCAACCTCTAGGCCTGCGACACAAGGCCCCCATGACTTGCGACCGGAAAAATAGCCTGACGAAGGACCCAACCATGTGCAGGTGTGAATACCGCAGCTGACACTACCAATTTCGGTGGGGCTCCCTATAGGGCCACGAAACGTGTGAAGGGGATGGGTGTGCGGGACGCATGCGGGCGGCAGCACTGGGGCCTTCGGTGGAGCACGAAACGTGTGAGGGAGTTGACGAAGTGGGTGTGGCTGACGCATGCGGGCGCGGGCACTGGGGCCTTCGGTGGAGCTCCCTATGGGGCCACGAAACGTGTGAGGGGTGTGCCGAAATGGGTGTGGCTGACGCATGCGGGCGCGGCGGGCACTATGGGACCACGAAACGTTGTGAGGGGTGTGCCGAAATGGGTGTGGCTGACGCATGCGGCGCCACTGGGGCCTTCGGTGGAGCTCCCTATGGGGCCACGAAACGTGTGAGGGGTGTGCCGAAATGGGTGTGCGGGACGCATGCGGACGCAACACTGGGGCCTTCGGTGGAGCTCCCTATGGGGCCACGAAACGTGTGAGGGGTGTGCCGAAATGGGTGTGGGACGCATGCGGACGCGGGCACTGGGGCCTTCGGTGGAGCTCCCTATGGAGCCACGAAACGTGTGAGGGGTGTGCCGAAATGGGTGTGGCTGACGCATGCGGGCGCGGGCACTGGGGCCTTCGGTGGAGCTCCCTATGGGGCCACGAAACGTGTGAGGGGTGTGCCGAAATGGGTGTGGCTGACGCATGCGGGCGCGGGCACTGGGGCCTTCGGTGGAGCTCCCTATGGAGCCACGAACGTGTGAGGGGTGTGCCGAAATTGGTGTGGGTGACGCATGCGGGCGCGGGCACTGGGGCCTTCGGTGGAGCTCCCTATGGAGCCACGAAACGTGTGAGGGGTGTGCCGAAATGGTGTGGGTGACGCATGCGGGCGCGGGCACTGGGGCCTTCGGTGGAGCTCCCTATGGAGCCACGAAACGTGTGAGGGGTGTGCCGACATGGGTGTGGGTGACGCATGCGGGCGCGGGCACTGGGGCCTTCGGTGGAGCTCCCTATGGAGCCACGAAACGTGTGAGGGGTGTGCCGAAATGGGTGTGGGTGACGCATGCGGGCGCATGGGGCCTTCGGTGAGCTCCCTATGGGCCACGGCCTGGGTTCGTGACGCATGCGGGCGCGGGCACTGGGGCCTTCGGTGGGCTCCCTAGGGAGCCACGAAACGTGTGAGGGGTGTGCCGAAATGGGTGTGGCTGACGCATGCGGGCGCGGGCACTGGGGCCTTCGGTGGAGCTCCCTATGGAGCCACGAAACGTGTGAGGGGTGTGCCGAAATGGGTGTGGGTGACGCATGCGGGCGCGGGCACTGGGGCCTTCGGTGGAGCTCCCTATGGAGCCACGAAACGTGTGAGGGGTGTGCCGAAATGGGTGTGGGTGACGCATGCGGGCGCGGGCACTGGGGCCTTCGGTGGAGCTCCCTATGGAGCCACGAAACGTGTGAGGGGTGTGCCGAAATGGGTGTGGGTGACGCATGCGGGCGCGGGCACTGGGGCCTTCGGTGGAGCTCCCTATGGAGCCACGAACGTGTGAGGGGTGTGCCGAAATGGGTGTGGGTGACGCATGCGGGCGCGGGCACTGGGGCCTTCGGTGGAGCTCCCTATGGAGCCACGAAACGTGTGAGGGGTGTGCCGAAATGGGTGTGGGTGACGCATGCGGGCGCGGGCACTGGGGCCTTCGGTGGAGCTCCCTATGGAGCCACGAAACGTGTGAGGGGTGTGCCGAAATGGGTGTGGGTGACGCATGCGGGCGCGGGCACTGGGGCCTTCGGTGGAGCTCCCTATGGAGCCACGAACGTGTGAGGGGTGTGCCGAAATGGGTGTGGGTGACGCATGCGGGCGCGGGCACTGGGGCCTTCGGTGGAGCTCCCTATGGAGCCACGAAACGTGTGAGGGGTGTGCCGAAATGGGTGTGGGTGACGCATGCGGGCGCGGGCACTGGGGCCTTCGGTGGAGCTCCCTATGGAGCCACGAAACGTGTGAGCCGTGTGACGCATGCGGGCGCATGGGTGTGGCTGACGCACACGAGGGAGGAGGGGGAAGAGGAGGAGAGGAGAGGAACGCGGGGCACCGTCTCTTCAAAACGAGGACCCAACACCACAGGATGGTTGGGAAAAACACGTCGCGCCCCGCCCGGCTGCACCCGCGGCACCGTGCCCACAAGGCACCGGGCGGGAAGCGGCAGCTGTCCACCCCTTCGGTGGCCGGCCGAGCTCGCCCAGCCTCCGCCAGCGCCGCCGACACGCCGCCGCCCAGCCGCCGCATCGTCCTCTCCAACGCGTTGCGGCGAGGCGAAGATTTGTCCATAACCACCGCCTGGGAGGATCGGGCTTCGGGAGCCTCGGCAGACGGCGGATCCATGTTGCTCCCCCCTCCCCCCGCAGGACCCGGGTGTCTCCACATCCACCGCCTGCCCAGGTCCCCGAAGACGGATCCCCAGGCGGGGGTTGTGGCTTCATCCCCACCTCCTCCTCACCCCCCCCCTCCCCTTCCACCATGCGTTCACAGATTCGTGCACCTGGCTGAACGTGGCTGGCCGAGAGCCAGAGAAGGAAGCACGCGCTGCTCGTTGCTGCGAATCCGTTGACCTGCGTCGTGTCGGCCTCGCCTTGCCCACAGTCCAGCAGGATCGATGATCGAGGAACTATGCTGTCAAACGTTTTGGCCCGTCTTGGGCTTCCAGAAGCATCTGACGCAAGATCGCCCAAACAGGCCGCCGAGACGTGGAATGAGGTGTCCCCCTCCACCCCCTCCTCCTTCTCCGTCCCCATCCACCTCCCAAGAACCCTCCAAGACCTGGAACATACTGCCTTCAGCAACACGCACACACACACACGCCGATACACACACACACACATATATATATATAAACATACGTAGTTTTGTGTGAAACACTTACGTAAGTGCATACTTATCGCATTCGATACAAGCGTGTACACTTACCAAAAAATAATTAACGGATTTACTCACACATGTGTGTACGTGTGTGACTACATTCGCCACCGTGCATCGAGGCAAAGTAGAGTGTTGATGCATGGAAACAGGTAGGCGTCCGGGTGGCCATTCCCCTTACCGTAACTACCCAAACGGTGTACCTAACCCTTGCGCAACGTGTGGCCAGAAGAGCTGGGGAGAACTCACAGGGCGTGATAGCGTGGCAAGGCCTTATATGTGTTGCGAACGTACTTGGGAGGCTCGCCGAGCTGCGCGATTCGCAGGGCAAGGGTCGATGGACAAGGGCTTGCTGGCCTTCCCTGGCTCGAAAATAAGAAGACCTGCCCCCCCCGCCCGGCAGCCCTCGAAAGTGGCAGCACTTTCCCAGATCGCAACCCCCAAAAGGAAGGGCGAGGTCTAATCGAAGGCC